AATATCGCTGCTTTGAGGATACTTCATCGACCACAACAATCGTAAACTCTTCAAGTCTAGAGTCAACCGTTTTTAGCTCGGAAAACAGAATCAGTTAAAACTAGTTCCAGAATTATGCTCACTGAGCATTAATATATTTTAAAAAGGCATGAATTCGCCTTTCCCTAAATTCTATATCTGTACTAAATGGTGGTGCTATGTAGCACAACAGTTATCACCAGGAAAAATGAATTGAGCTAAAACAGTTCGAATTTTGTCTGGGGAGGCGTATACTCCCTTAGAACTAATACCCTTGAGAAAAGCATTTATCTATTTCTACACAGCGTCTGCAGATACCATTTCCCCCTATGTCAGCCTGCAGATGATTTTTGAAGATATATATATATATATATATATATATATATATATATATATATATATATATATATATATATATATATGTGTGTGTGTATTGGGATTCTTGAGTGGAAACTTCATTTTTGTATCCTGCTTTGAATCAATATCGATCTAGCATAATGGGGTAGCCTGGGCTCTATAGTCACCGATACCATCAACAACTATGAGTTCTTGAACAAGCCGAGCTTTTAGTTGGAGGACATCAGCATTGCTTTGGCATGCAAGAGAGATGGACTCCGACAGGTCCGCTTGCCCATGACACGCTATGCATATGAATAAGTACCGTTCCAGTTTTTCTATCTATATTGAACTAGTCAGTTGCTCAGCTGCGTATCTGAGCATGGGACTGATGATGATGATGATGATGATTCCTTGGTTTTAATAAAATATCTCTTCATTAATACAAATTGTACAGTTTCAAAGCCGAAGCCTAAGGTCATGTCTCCAGGCAAATCTACTTCATTTCATCTATGCCCTAATTTGGTTCATTCGAAAGCTTGGCGCGCGTGTCTCGAAAAACACGGCCCCTCTAGAGAGTGTGGTGTGCTGCCAACTGATGTAAGGTAATAGATAAAAATAATAAGAATTCTCAAAACGTAGGAGACCTTTCAAGAAAACCCAATAAATGTTGAATTTGACATATATTATTTCCATAATCATGAAGAACGAACCAAAATATTCCCCAGACTGTAAAAGTCAAAAATGGACTGCTCCGCTCTAGCAGGAAATCAATTTACAAACTTTCATATGACTGGTGATGGATGCGAGATGAATTCATTAAACATTTGTCTTGAATCAATTCCAATAAGTATCATCATCATCATCATCATCATCATCATCATCATCATCATCATCATCAATAATCCCATATTTCACATATCTGGGTTGAAAGCCGGATTAGTATTCATTCATTCACAACGTGTCTTGGATAAGTAGACCACATCCTTCTCTAGGTCCTCCAACTTGAAGACTTGCCTTAGTTACGGGCACGTGTCAGTTGAGTCCATCGGGAGAAACCTTCGATCTAGCCATTGACTTCAGTCTAGGAAGCCATTCGCCGTGTCATCGACACTCTGGCTGCATCCATAGCTATATGGAACCCATTTTATTCTATTTTGTTAGATGGCCGTTAACCTTACAAGAAGGTAACCGTATTTAAATCTTGCTGGGTGTCTATCCACCCTCCTAACCAGAAAAAAAAACAACAAAAAACGATTATCCTTCTCGGTTACATCGTAGCAACAGCTCTTGTAGAATGACCTGAATTCATTAATAAGTGTTATTGTGGTCGATTTCACACACAAAAGCGCCCATCCCCACACTATACTCTATATGTTCGTACTAATGAGAAATATGTTTCAGACAAGAATCTGTAGCAACGTTTGAACATGGAGCTAGTATAGTAAAATGCTGAAAGCATATTCCTGTATTTGAAAGGAAACGCTTTACAGACAATTTTGTAGAATATAGATATTGTAGGAGCATATGAATGGGATTTTTGGAGAATATCAATGCGCATGGATGAGAATAAAAAGAAACTTTTACTTGACATTTGATACTCACAGGGAAAATTGAAGGCAAGTGGAGAACAACGGATAACGTACCTAGCGAGATTGAGAAAATAGATGACGGAACCAGGTTGAGTAGAGATAACAGAATTTATTAAAAGCTACAAAGGACAATAAATTGAAGGGAGCCGTAATCGTCAACGTCCCGAAGGAACACGGGACATAAGAAGAAGAAGAGATGAGAATATCATAGACGGAGGGTGTAAATGACAAAGTCTTAAGAAAAAATAGAAACAAAAAGAGACTGCATCAGAAAGAGAAAGCTGGAATTTCTGACACACATAATGAGGAATGAGGGCTTGGAAAATTAGACACTCACAGGAGATATCGAAGGTAAAGAGAACAGTGGAAAGTAGAGGAACTGTCGAGCTTATGCGAATGGATAGAAGAACGATGTGTGGGGCGGGTGATAAAAAGAAAAAATACTAAAAACTGCAAGACATAGGAGGTTGTGGAGATCCATGATCATCCGTGTCTTGAAAGGACATCCCTCATAGAAAAGGAAAATCATCAACCACTATTGCCTGACACTTTAAGTCACATGGCAAAACGAAAAAAGAAGAGAGAAGACAGAAAAGTGGACAATGTCATAGCCATTAAAAAGACGCAAAAAACGTCTTGATTACCGCTGGGATCAGCGGAAATCCTCCATGGGTATCAGCAAGTGTTTGAACCCTGGGTATATTAAGAAGACAGAGCTTAGAACTTCTTTACCAGTTAGGTACATAGTTTACTTTTACAGTAAATTTAAATTAAAATTTAATTTAATTTTAAATTTCTGTGAAAGCATCGATTCATTTGAGGTTCGGCAATGTCTTATAGATAAAGGTCGAAGCGTCGGAGTAAACGGAAAATTATCAAAAATGCAAGCACAGTAATATTTGCAGATATACGAAATGGAATTTTTTTTCTCGGTAGATGCTAATTAAGGCATCAAAACGATTAAGCACTAATAGAAGGAATTCTGTATTTTTTTTTACCGTTGGTAGTGAAATCTAGGATTTTGAATGCTGGTTATCAAAACATGAATCCGTTTACCACTTTGATGATTACCACAAAACAGTCTTCCTACCGTTTTTTTACATACTTGAACTATATTAATTTTCATATCAAATAAATCCAAAGTAAATGTCGCGTCGACTGAATAAAAGTAAACGGTCTTTACAATGGCCGGTCGTTCGTTTCCGATTACGTCCTTCTGTTGGAAACACTTGCTCAGATACATCAACATGCACAAAAAGTCAAACCGAGGTTTATATGTAAGGAATATATATATATATATATATATATATATATATATATATATATATATATATATATAACAGAAAAAAGAGACAATAAAAGATAGAGAAAAGAGATAGAGAGCAGAAAGAAAACGAGAGAGGGAGAGTGAAAGAGAACAGCGAGAGGGAGAAAAAGAGAGAAAATGAAATAGAAAGCAGAGCCTATTGAGGGATGAAAAAAGAAAGATAGTGAACGAGAGAGCAGTGAGAGAAGAATGACAGAAAAGGAGAAGACGGAGAATAACTTTGAGAAAAAGAGAGAACAGAGAAACAGAAAGAGAGAGAGAGAGAGAGAGAGAGAGAGAGGGGAAATAAAATTGTAAACTATAAACGAGAGTTAAAGAGAGAAAAAGTAATAGAGAGAAAAAAAGAGGCTAGAAAGAAGAGAGGGAGGGAGGGAGGGAGAGAGAGAGAGAGAGTTCTCATTTCAACATTTCTCACAACTTTGATTTCTTTCCTCGGCAAAGATCGAAGAATGATCACACGATCTGTCCAGTAAGATGATCGACCTGCAATTAATCAAGTTAAGAAGGAGAACCCTTATAACTCCTTTCCCCATAGGGTACATGGTTTCCTTGCTCAGTTGGCTCTTGATTGCGTTCTGTGTGAAGAATCAATTCATTTTAAGTTTCGCGTTGTCTGACCGACAATGGTAATTATAATGCTAATATTAGCCGTTTCCTTATAAGGAAGCATTCGGCATTCGGCATTCGTTGACCGAATGGCCAGTTCTACTCAAATTACATTTTTCGTAACTTCCTCTCTGTCGGGCATTTATTTTCCTCATCTCTAAGGCTAATATTAATATTAACCGTTTCCTTATAAATAAACATTTGGCATTAATTAGCCGAGGAGCCAGTTGAAATTTCGGTTGAAATTATAAAATCAATAAATTTCAATCGAAGTTTCAACTGGCTGCTCGGCTAATTAATGCCCAATTTTTCCTTATAAGGAAACAGTTATCTACTTATTTCTCTTATAACAATTTTCAGAAAATAGGTTTCGTAAGTCCACTAGCTGTTATCGCTCTTACCAAACAGAAGGTAGTTTACTGCACAACCTTTTGTTTGATGTAGTGTGGAACGTCAACACCTTGATTACGTCATTATTTTCTCTTCGAGTTAGTGAGATCCATTTTTGTTGTTATTGCTGTTGAATGTCTTGTGTTTTTATTATTTGGTACATTTCTTTGTGATTTTGGAGCGCCAGTCCAAAAGGTATGAAAAGTATGGTCCTTGCTAAGCTTACAGGTTCTATTTACTTACAGCCATTTTAAAACCCTTGATGTGTGAAAGCGGTCGTATACAGCTGAATGGTTAGATATATCTGAAGGAGTTTGGCGCTATGAATGACATTCATATGAAAGGCTTCATTTGCTTCCTTCCTTCCTTCCTTCCTTCCTTCCTTCCTTCCTTCCTTCCTTCCTTCCTTCCTTCATTTCCTTCCTTCTTTTCCTTCCTTCCTTCCTTCCTTCATTTCCTTCCTTCCTTCTTTTCCTTCCTTCCTTCATTTCCTTCCTTCCTTCCTTCCTTCCTTCCTTCCTTCCGTCCTTCCTTCAATTCCTTCCTTCCTTCCTTCCTTCCTTCCTTCCCTTCCTTCCTTTCCTTCCTTCCTTCCTTCCTTCCTTCCTTCCTTCCTTCCTTCCTTCCTTCCTTCCTTCCTTCCTTCCTTCTTCCTTCCTTCCTTCCTTAATTTCCTTTCTTCATTTCCTTCCTTCAACCTTCCTTCCTTCCTTCCTTCCTTCCTTCATTTCCGTCCACATCACGTTGAAACATAGGTTCCCATACGATCACCGCAGTTAAGCAACATCGAGCCTGGTCAGTACCTCGATAGATGACCGCTTGGGAATACCAGGAGCTGTAAGCTTGGATGTGAGTATGGTGTAATGTATAATGACTCGGAATTGTTAATCGGAGAATCGAGGTTCAATTCCATTTGGGTTCGTTATATTCCTGTAGCACAAATATTCTCGGGAATGGTATGAATCAACCTCTTCTCCCTAAAGCTGTGGGTTAATTAGTATAACGTCTATCAATAAAATCATTATTATTTAAAATCTTACAGTCTAAAAATATTTTCTGGCTTTAAATAACCTGCAAAAGGTTGATAAGCCGTAGAAAATGAATCATTCGATTAAAATATGAGTCTCGATTTTTATGAGATATAAGAATAGGTAATAATTTGGTTTTGTTGTAATTTGCGGTTTTAGGCTAAACTAACCGTGGTGCAGTATATTCTATGTCTAATACCCTTATCTCCTTTACTAAGTCAAATTGCTATTGTTTACTTAATGTTTTAGCGGATCAAACGGAAAATTATCAAAACCTTCAACGCAGATATTTGTAGATGAATTGGGAAAGTTTCCCTATGAAGACGGTAATCGACAATTTACCAAATCAATTAAACTCCAAGTATCTGCTGAAAGATTTCCATATTTGCCTTCGTTGGTAGTCCAGTCCAGGAATATACCACGATTTCAAATTTTAAACAGACAGACCTTTACTAGATTAAATTTGGCACAGCACTGTCTATTTGCACCTGCTTTACTTACATAGCCTCGAACTGTACTAATCTAATCTTAGTCAATATTAATTAAGTCCAAAGTAAAAGCTGCATCGACTGAATTTAACTCCAATATAGAAAAACAGGTTTTGCCATGCTTAAAATTCTAAAATATTTGTATTAAGAGAATTCGTACTTATTTTCTTTTGAAAACATTTCTTTCTTCAAGCATTTCTTTCGGCTTACCATTCTCTTCATTTTCTTCAATTCCGCAAGAGTTGGTTCTTTTTTCAAATATCGATTCTGCCTTTCCTTGATATTTTCTACTTTTATTATACAATTTTCCTTCCTTCCTTCCTTCCTTCCTTCCTTCCTTCCTTCCTTCCTTCCTTCCTTAATTTCCTTCCATCCTTCTATCCTTCCTTCCTTTCTTCTTTCATTTTTTCCTCCCTTCCTTCCTTCCTTCCTTCCTTCCTTCATTTCATTCATTCCTTCCTGCCTTCCTTCCTTCATTTCCTTCCTTCCTTCGTTTCCTTCCTTCATTTCCTTCCTTCCCTCCTTCCTTCCTTCATTTCCTTCCTTCCTTCATTTCCTTACTTCCTTCATATCCTTCCTTCGTTCCTTCATTTCCTTCCTTCATTTCCTTCCTTCATTTCTTTCCTTCCTTCCTTCCTTCCTTTCCTTCCTTCCTTCCTTCCTTCCTTCATTCATTCATTTCTTTTGATCCTTCCTTCCTTCCTTCCTTCATTTTCTTCCTTCCTTCATTTCCTTCCTTCTTTCCTTCATTTCCTTCCTTCCTTTCTTCATTTCCTTCCTTCCTTCGTTTCCTTCTTTCCTTCCTTCTTTTCTTCCCTCATTTCCTTTCGTCCTTCCTTCCTTCATTTCCTTCCTTCCTTCGTTCCTTCATTTCTTTCCTTTCTTCATTTCCTTTCCTTCCTTCCTTCATTTCCTTCGTTCCTTCATTTCCTTCGTTCCTTCATTTCCTTCCTTCATTTCTTTTCTTCCTTTCCTTCCTTCCTTCATTTCCTTCCTTCCTTTCCTTCCTTCCTTCCTCCCTTCATTTCCTTCCTTCCTTTTTTTGTTTGCTACTTTCAGCTTAAATTGTTTCTTACAACTTTTCTTTTATGTGTTTCTTTATCTCCTAAATAATTTCTAAAATTCTTTTTTTTATTGTGCACATTCACATCTAAACATAGCGTTAACTCCGTTTCTTACTCACTCACACTCACTCTCACACGCTTTACCTCTAATAGAGTAACTAGTATATATATATATATATATATATATATATATATATATATATATATATGAATATAACATATCGCACATTGTGACCCGGTGTTAATAAAATAGTGAGCGATGTAATATAACATAGCTATTAATCATATATTAATAGATGCACATATTATTCCTCACCAGTAGCACGACTCAGATTTTCATGCACAACACAATCTTCAGGTGCTGTGTAGAGACTGACCGTTGCATAATTTAAAGTTTGATAAACATTTTGGCTAATGCAATGATGGTGCAGTCCATATATTATACGGGGATTACTGATTTTTATTTTTTAAAAGAATACTGTATTTAAAATAAACGGGATTTTTCAGTGTAATATAACAGAACAATTGAAACATAATTCTCAGTTATTTTAAATACAATATATTTTTTAGAAAAATAAAAACTAGTAATCTCCGTATAATGTATGGACTGCGCCAGCATTACGTTAACCAGATCTTTTTAATAAAATTTAAATTATTTAACTAAGAAACAAAATGTCAGTGACTCAGCGACGTAGAAATAATAACTATAAAAAATGGAGAAACAATTCAAACCCATGCATATATAATAACATTCAACACTTCCACAACTCCAAGAGAGAGATTTAAATCGGATATGTAATGGATGAAGTCCAACCTTATATCCCTAACTCTTTAGAATCATTCAAATGTCAATGTTACGGGCATCATGAAGTAGATGTATAGAGAAAAAGTTTGCAAGAAACGTGGTGATAATGAGTGAGACAATCACGAGGTTCGATGCAGGAATAAGAATAAATATGCAAATTATGGTGGCAATTTATGTACCAATATGTGACTCAAAAAAAAGGAAATATTGAAAATAAACTTCAAGCAATACCTTAGATTTCCTGAATCAAGGAAAATAGTAGAAACATTAAGGAGCATAATTACATACTTAAATGTTGAAGAGGAAAGAAAATATAGAGCCATGGTAGAAAGACTGCAACAATTAGATTCAGATGACTGTCAAAAGTAATATTAAGGAGCAAGAAACCAACTCTAAAGACAACCTCTTCGTAAAAACCAAATTAACAGCAATAAAAAAAAAACGGCTAAAACCTATCCAGAACCAGGGAGAATAAAAACAAACAAGTAGCAAGAAGAAAGGGAAAAATCTCCCAGCAAACTGAATCTTTCTAATCAGAAGGAAATATTACAACAGTTGAAAACAAGAATTGACCAAACTCCAACACAGAACCAAATTGGAAATCACAGAAGACACCGGACCTAAAATGAACAAGTAGAAATTTCACTGAAACAATGACTACAAAAATGAAAGACAAAATGCGGAACATTTTACTAAACAAAGCTATGCAAACAACCGGAATTGATCAGGCTCACAACCGAGAAGAGAAAACTAATCAGAGAGTATTGAATATACGGACACAGATGACCAAAGCTGAAAAAATTTAGAAACTTGAACAAAAATGCAATACAGTTACTGATAATAAACAGTTGCCTAGTTATCATTTACTCGGTCTCAAAGGAACCAAAAATATACTTCAGTCAAATGATTACCCAAACAAGAAATGGAAAAAAAACATAGATAACCGACAATGGAACAGAAATGGTATAAAACCAAACTATTAAGAACTAATAAAATTCATGCTTGAGTACAACCGAAACATAACCTGTCACGAAGGAATTCTACTAAATTAACAATACGTACTCCTTCAAAGGATAGGCCATCGACAATAAAACTAACAACTTAATAGTAGATAACAAGCCAAGTGTTGGCTCATCTGTTCTAGTAAAAAAACAACGTCAAACGAAAGATGATTGAATACAGAACTACCAGTTACAGTAAGGACCACCATACACTGCAATAACAATCTACTAAATAGACATTTCACTAAAACTTCAATTAAAACAATCTGCAACTAATAGAACAATACCCAACTCCCTATTTAATTTTAAGAGACTTTAATTCTCACACTAAACTCTAGGATAGTACGCAATCCAACTCCAATGGCAAAATGATACACTATGCTAGAAATAAGATATATTCATCCTAAGTGACAGATCACATACCTATTTGCACCCAGCTACCGGGAGTCAGCGATAGACTTATCAATCTGCTTTTCTGCAATATTCATGGATTTCCAATGCAAGGTTCATGAAGACCTATGTTGCAGTGATTACTTTCCAAATGAACCGCTCAATACTAGAAGAAAAAACAAAAAACGAAATGGCAACTGAGCAAAGAAAACTGGCCTGCATTGAACAGAACTATGCCAGTTGTAAATAAACAATAAAAGACGCAGATCCAATATCCTCCTTCATAAATCTATTATTTAGCATCACAAACAATTTCAATATTCTTCACTAATAAATACTACAAAAACAAAACTTGTTTCACCACAGAATGCAGAGAAGCCATCGAAAACAGGAAAATGCTAAAAAAGTTCAAACTCAAACCGGTAACAGACAATCTACGAAATCATTGGCAATCTTGAGTAAAATACGATATATAATCATAGACATCAAATAAGAGACCTGGAAAACCTATGTCTCCTCTCTAAATAACCAACCAACAGAATATTGAAGAATCAATGGGAAAACAACAGAAATTACCACACTATATCTTAACGAACCAAATAGAAGTAAATATAAAGGAAGAAAAGATATAGTTAACCTACTAGGAACAGATTAAAAAAAAAAAAAACCAACTCTTCAACAAATCAACACACTTCAACTTTGGAAAAAATAAAAATAACACAGAGAAGAAAAAAAAAACCGTGACCGAAAAAAAATCTATAATGAAAAGCAAAGATGCAGCTACTGTGCCATTGAAATTCACTATCAATTTATAAAAACACACTTACTAGAAACATCCCTCATCCTGTTACTCTTCTTCTATAAAGATATATGCTATTCAGGTAAATTCCCAAACTCATGGCTAGAAAGAACGATGATCCCTCAACCTAACAAAGACCCCTCAAATCCAACCATCTAACGCTCTATGTCACTAACCAGTTGTATATACAAGACAATGAAGATGATGGTCAACATTCACCGGACATGTTTTTTAGAAAAAATAAAATGCTATATTTGAATATCAAAG